AGTGTCCGTCATTAGGCTTTTTGGCACTCCTCACAAAAGCACCATTTGTGTCCTGGTGATAATTACACTGCTTTCCTCAAACAATAATGGCTTTGAACATCCCACTCATGGCATTAGCATAATCAATCTTAACACCATTCTAATTGAGTCATTTTTAATCATCTCCTCTGAAGAAGAAACAAATGATTAACCAGCGCTCTGCTTCTTTTTGGCTCAAACCCTCCACATTTGTCCACACACAGAAGCCCTCCAAAAACTAAAGAAATCCTCAAATGTTGTACCAGCACCACTGGGTGATGGTGATACTAGGTGCCACACACACACACACACACACACACACGCACACACACGCACGCACACACACGCACACACACACACACACACACACACACACACGCACACACGCACACACACGCGCACACACACACACACACACGCACACACACGCGCACACACACACACACACACACACACACACACAAAATAAAATTAAATCTGACTGTACTGTGTTATTGTGTTATTGTGTTATTGTGTTATTGTGTCTAGTGTCGTGTTACAGATGAGCTCAAATTCTTTGACCACTACATCACCAGTGACCTCACATGATGAGGACCTGCAGGGGGCGCTCTCGAAATGATAATGTCTCTAATATATACTAGGATCTCATTTGTGTCGTGTGTTTCTTAAATGCTGAAAACATCTTTTTTTAAATTCTTGTAACAGTCAAAATAAAATCTATACCAAGATAAATAATAGTTTGGTGCTTTGATATTTGATTCTGAGAAAATCCATCTTTCTGTAGATTTTTCTCTTTTTTATGTGTAAGCAGCCATGTTTGTTTTTGACACAACCAAGCATGTGTGTGCTGATGTTCATAAATCAGCACAGCTCATCATGAGGATCATTAGACATTGACTGGAATACTTTAGTCCCCCAAACGTCTTTTGTTTTTGTGGATTTCCTTTACAAATCACCGTTTACTAGAGCCTCAGTTTACTTCACACAGTGAGCTATTGGACTGGTATTGGTATCGGCAAATACACTAAGGTCAAGTATCGAATCCGATTTTTATTTTTTTTTAATGGCGTGGGAGCACGACTTACAAGACACAATAAACACAGTTGAACAGTCTGGCTGGCAGACACACTCTGTGAGGCCAGAGGAACGACTCCAATTAATCACTGATCTGTGGTTCCTGCTCAAATCTGCTCTGACAGAAAATTCAGCCTTAAATGAATCTTTTAAAGGAATATTTGTCCACAACTTGGGCACGGATCCAGCCTTTTCAGTTCGGATATCAATACTTTGATTTTAAATATCTGTTAAACAGATATAAACAGATGCCAAGGCAGAGATGAAAAATGTATTTCCTGAAAGCACAGTTAAGTTCTTACACAAGAGATTCAATAGTGTTATGTAACTGTGATTTATCCTTCACATCACTGCAGAACAGCTTCGTCTGAATAAAAGTACACATCCAATCACCCAATCCTGCTTCTCATTATCATCACCAGTATTCAGTACTGATCCATTCATATCAGTATCGGTGCGTTTCTAGCCAAGATCCCATTCAGCCACTGTGCTAAAGAACTGGACAATAGTTTTGCTTGTTTTTCTGCTGACACTCCACGGCAAATGATGAAATATCTGCTGAAGTTGTGCTTTTTTGTGAGGTTTTATAATTGAATGAGCATATGATTGCAATACAATACAAACAGAACAAATGCCCAGGCCTCATACGCCTCCATCCAGACAGCTCCAGATAAAACATGCACTCCAGACTGATCCTGGAGCCCAGCGTGCAGCCTGCTACTGCGATACGAGCCTGTTTCATTTGCCTATGAGGACTAAAGAAGACACAGTAATTATCTATGACACCCATCATGACATTTGAAGCACTGGCACCTTGGCTTCCTTTTAAAGACAGTAGAGTAAGAGAAGGTTTGACCTTGTTGCCATGTTTAGGCTGCTGTGAGACAAACATGTAAGCGAGGTAAATAATCTGCTCTATTCTCTTCCCCTTTGCCTTTTAAATGTACGTCACAGCCAACATCAAGACAAAGCGCAACACACGGTCAGGGGTAGACTGGAGCAAGGACGTGTTGAATAAAGGAGAATCAAGATTACTCACACACTTGAATCACTCTAAATACAATGAGAAGAAACTACCATGAACATTAAAAGCTCTGATAAGTCCTTTTTGCAGAATATGTCTCATTTGAAAGTTCACATGTACGGGGCCCGGTCAAGCAGAAGTAAACAGCAAGGTCAAAAATTCAAGTTAATGCATCTGATATAAAAATGTATTGAACAGATACATATGTACTCTAGTTTATGAAACTGTTGACCTTTTTTCTGTACCATTTTTGGTTCTAAAGTTCCATCCGTTTTAAACAGACCATGTATCAAACATGGAACAAAAATTATTTTCCAAATTTCAAAGACCTGCAAATCATGTAAATAAATGGATATATTTCATCATATCTTGTGTTATTCCATCTTTGAACTGTTGAGGAAGGTACATGATTTTTCAAAAATGATAAAATTTAGCTTGAAAGGACTGACAAATTTGATAGAAATAGTTTCCTTTCATTTTGAAGTAATATTAAAGTATTCAGAAGAAAAAAGCAACAAATGATGTAAAATCCTGCACCTTCTACTTGCTTACACAATTTTCCCTCCGTTACCATGACCTTTCTTAATAAAAAATGTCATTACTCAAAAAGTAAGAGGTTTTTCAACCTAATCTTGTACCATATGGTAGAAAACTATATGAAGCAAATATTCAAACCAGTTTGTTAAGGATATGTAAGTGAGAACCAAGAGTTATCACTGTTTGGATTTATTGCCCAAAAAGTGCTGCATATTTTATTCCCTCCATTACCGACATGAGTTTTAAAATTTTTTGTCAACGACTTGAAAGAATATCACAGGTTTAACTTGACCCTGTTGGAGTGTAACTCTTTCCTACATTCTGATACTTTACTTATTTCAATAGTCCCTCTAGTTTCTAAATAAGAACTATTTGAATGTCAAAAAACTGCCCCTGTTTCCCTCCGTTACTGCTTGACCAGACCCATCTGTAACTTGCAGCTCCAGTTTCTTTGGTTTTAAGTGCTTAAGTTGAACTGTTGTGGCTCACTGTTATTATGGCCTGATTTGTCCAAAAATGTGTCATTATGTGCTCGTACTTATTGCCACACCAGCAAACTGCCAAACAGCAGCACATGTGGAGACAGTCTGTAGCCGGGCTCTGGTGTTTCTCACCTGCACCTGAGACGTTTGTCATTTTAATGTCATTCTTATTCTGTAAAGCACTTTGAATTATGTTTGTACCATTTGTGCCAAGCAAAAAAAACTCTCTGCCAAGATAAGATTTGTTGAAGTTCAGAAGCACAACTCACGCTCCTCATCCTCTCCCTGCCCTATTCATACCACTCTGAAACGTGTGGATGAAGTTGGTGTATGAAGCTGGTGTATGAAGCTGGTGTATGAAGGTGGTGTATGAAGTTGGTGTATGAAGGTGGTGTATGAAGCTGGTGTATGAAGCTGGTGTATGAAGCTGGTGTATGAAGTGGTGTATGAAGCTGGTGTATGAAGGTGGTGTATGAAGCTGGTGTATGAAGTTGGTGTATGAAGCTGGTGTATGAAGGTGGTGTATGAAGTTGGTGTATGAAGCTGGTGTATGAAGCTGGTGTATGAAAGCTTGTATGAAGTGGTGTATGAAGCTGTTGTATGAAGGTGGTGTATGAAGGTGGTGTATGAAGTGGTGTATGAAGGTGGTGTATGAAGCTGGTGTATGAAGCTGGTGTATGAAGCTGGTGTATGAAGCTGGTGTATGAAAGCTGGTGTATGAGCTGTGTATGAAGCTGGTGTATGAAGCTGGTGTATGAAGCTGGTGTATGAAGCTGGTGTATGAAGCTGGTGTATGAAGCTGGTGTATGAAGCTGGTGTATGAAGCTGGTGTATGAAGCTGGTGTATGAAGGTGGTCTTTCCTGTTGTTTTCTCCTGTCTCCCCCTGGACTCTGCTGTGACGCTGTAGGACACAGTGGAGGGACACGTTTGGCTCTTCCACAGGATCTGCTGACCCTCCCTGACCAGTCCTCCTGTGAAACTGACCTCAGATCTTTGACTCAAAGGTCACTGAGACACGCAGTGGAAATGTTTGCAGTTTGCTGCAGCAAAACTTGAATTTTCTTCAGTATCAATAAAGTCTCTCTCAGTCCCAGCGCACATTCACTGCTCTGAAGTTTGCTCTCCAGTTTTATTTTCTTAATCTGTGATACAGGTTGGATTCAGCAACATCGTGTGGTCATTTTTGTACAATTGAAAAAAATAAAATAAAAATTGCTACTCATTAGTCCGATTAGGTTTGTTAGATCCTCTGTATTGATTATACTTCAGACTCTTAATGCTCAGACCTGCATCTGTTTCATCTGTCAAACTGTCAAAGGATCAAACACAGCTCTGTACAGAAGAAAAACAAAGTAAATGTGCTGCTCCACAGTTTGCAGCTCTTTGTTGTGAACATGTTTCCAGTGACGTCAGCTCACACTGGGCTCTGCACTTTTCTAACACACAGGCCACTAGACTTATCAATACTGTGATTTAAATTCCAGGCACATCAGGTCTGCTTTAGACGATTTGTATCTCAGCACAGGGACACAATTCATTTCAATTCATACATGAGTGTTGTGGTCCTCACAGGTTTTGAGATAAAATAAATAAATTAATTTTAAAAATCTGCATGTATCCAGATCCTTCCCTGAACATAAACAATCCAAACATTTAATCAGCACCATTTTACATCCAAAACAGCCTCAGTACTTCCTCTTGTGTCTGCGCCAAACCACAGTCTCACACCTCTCCTTTAAAAACAACAACCTGAGGACCACAGCAGTAAAAATGACAAATGAGGATTGTTTCATTTACACAACCAGAAATCAATATTCTCAACCTAATATCCCTCAACTCCCCCCTCCCCCCACAGGCGTCTCACCTTGGCCTTGTTGATAGTGCAGTGCAGGGCGTTGTTCTCCTGGTCGTACAACAGGCTGAACTCCAGAGTCCCCAGAGTGGCTGTAAAACAAACACACACACTGTTTTACATTTGAAGATTGAAGTCCCCATAACTCCTGAGCTCTGAACAAGTCAGCTGTGTGCTGTCTGTGTTTCATTGGAATTTATTGTCTGAGAATCAGGAAGTGTGCACCAGCATGCTAGTTGTTCTGGTCTTTGAAAGTTGTGAAACTAGCCACACAGTCAGTCAGCTGTGGGTCTCTGACAGCTGATGGGCTGTGTGAGGACGCTCCATCCTGACTCATATCTGACTCTAAAATATTGATAGTACTTATGTTATTCTTCCTGTAGTTCCTCCTCTGTCCACCTGCTGTGTGTGACACACACTCACACACACTCACACACTCACACACACTCAAACTCTGATTTCACTTACAACTGTAATAACAATGTGTGGAAACACTTTCCCCATTTGCATTCTTACTGCCAGGCCAAGCAGGAACATCTCAGAGGAGAACAGAACTGTCAAATGTCTCAACAAGCACATACTCATCCAGACTCAAACTCATATCCAAACGAGACGCCATTTTGAGCAGGTATCAGTGCTAAACAAGTCCCATGGACAGGACAGAGCAGAACCTTTCCTGAAGCTTTAGAGTGATCTTAGTCTCAGAGTGCAGCTTTAACTGTCATAACTGCATTACATTACACACTAAACACCACGACACACAGGAGTGTGTGGGCCGTGCCACAAGACAACACCTCCCATTCACACACACTTCTACAAACATGTATTTATAAAAGCATTTGTGAAGTTTGAGATCCGCTCCTCCTCCTCTCCCCACGCCAAAAGCACCATGTACAGATATAAACTCATTCACACACACACACACACACACACTATGCTGACACACAGAGAACTAAGAGTGTGTGACACAATACGACTTCTCATAATTCTCACAATCCTCTCCAGCCCCAGTCCACATCTAACCAGGCTGGCACCACCTAGTGCCTCCTGTCAATTTCATTTCTCTCCAGTGACTAGGTCAGGAATCAAAATACACCAGATGGTTCGCAAATTCATGAATTTCATCAAGGGGAAAGACATTATTGTCCTTCTTCTTACGAGATTTGGGAAAAGCTTCATATAACAGTTAGCCCCGTTAGCGGCGCATTACATACTCCACGAACAAATGAAAAAAAATACCAAACTACCCTGAATGAAACACTGTGAGGTCAGACGGTTTATATATATATATATATATATATATATATATATATATATATATATATATATATATATATTCTGATATTGAAGAATTATCCAGGTATTTTGAATCTACATGTATGTCAGTTTTGGACAGTGTGACCAAATGAGTCCACTCGCGCTGCTCGACGTGAATGCAGGAGAGCTGAGTGAAGGTGGGAGAAGGATAAGCTTCATGTTTCACGCTGATACTGACAACTGACAGACACACAGCACATGTCCTTTTTAGAACGGTGGATGCAGCTCGAAATGTCCCACAGTCTGATCACTTTGAAGCTTTTCCCTCTGGTGTGTCAACATTTTTTGAACTTTTTTATAAACAAAGTTGAGACACATCAGGCTCTTCTCAGCACTTCACCTGTGCTCCAGTCTGATGCTGTCACATGTCTAGTTTGTTTCAGTCAGTTTGAACCAGTGACACTATCTCGTTTAGAAAAAGCGGTCAGGGAAATGAAGCCTTCTGCTTTACCCAAACACCCTGTTCTTCCTGGCCTGTTTGGTCCACCATAGCGCCCTCTGGACTGTATTATATTAACTGCAGTCTGGCACATGGACTGGTACCTGTTAGCCTTAAACATGCTCGTCCAGCCTTTCATTAAGAAGTCTGGCCTTAATCCTAAAGAGCCTTCACATTTTCGTCAGATTTCTAAACTAAACTACTTCAAAAAGGCATTTTCAGAACAGCAAGAGATGCCTGAGGTTTTTCAGTCTGGTTTTAAAAACCTTCACAGTACTGAGTCAGGGCTTCTAAGGGTTTTTAATGATATTTTTGTGTCTACTGACTCTGGTCACGCTGTTGCTCTGGTGTTATTGGATTTGACTGCCGCGTTTGACACAGTGAACCACGAGATCCTCCTGTGTCATCTGCAGAATGGGGTTGGCATCCAACTGATCTGATCTGATCATCTGATCCTACTTAACAGATAGACATTTTGTGTTCAGGTTGGTGATTGGGTTTCATCCACAGCTCCCCTGTCATGTGGTGTGTCCCAAGGATCCATCCTTGGGCCTCTCCTTTTTTCACTGTACCTACTTCCCCCAGGACCTGTTCTCTGCATGGGAGCATGTGTATGCTGATGACAGACAAATGTCAGAATGCAGATTGTGTCACTCATCTGTTGGACTGTATTGATGATGTGAAAACTGAAGTTCTTTTAATTGGTCTAAGTTGTGCTGGTAGTGATGGTCCAGTTAACCTAAGATCCTTGGCACAGTTTGTCAAACCCACTGTCACAAACCTGGGACTGAAAACTGAGAAGACTTTAAACTTGACAAACAAATGTGCTGTGGTAAAGGCTTTTTCCATTTGAGGCAGTTGGCAAAGATAAAGCCATCACTTTCAAGACACCATTTTGAGATTTTGATCCACACTTTTGTTACGACAAGACTGGATTATTGCGATGCAATGCCCTCTATGTTGGCATAAGTCAGTCCTCAGCAGGCTTCAGCTCGTCCAAAATGCAGCTGCTCGTCTTTTAACTTGTTCACAGAAATATGACCACGTGTCCCTGATTCTGTCTGCCCTTCACTGGCTCCCTGTTTGTTTCAGAGTGGATTTTAAAATACTTTTATTTGTCTTTAAATACCTAAATGCCTCGCAGTAGCTGCTGGTGCCATCCTCTCCTCTGAGCTCCCTCAGATGCTCTGACCAGGCTCTGCTCTTGTTCCTCAGTCCAGGAGGAAGCTCAGAGGAGACGGAACATTTTCTGATGTTGGACCTAAATGATGGAATGAGTTTCCTTTTCACATAAGACAAAGTGACTCTGTTCTTGCTTTAATTCACTTCTTAAAATACACTTGTTTTCTTTGGCTTTTAACTCGTTTTGAGTCCTTTACTGCTCAATAATTGTTGCATTTTTTTCCCCACTGTATTATACATATATATATATATATTTTTTTTTATCTGTGTATTATATGTGTTGTTTTAATAGTGTTTTATAAATAAACTGGATTTGGATTTGGACCTCCACATGCAGCCTGCCTTTATGATGTTTTCCATCTATAGGCTATTGCAGTTCAAGCAAAATGACAAATGATGATCTCTGTATGACAGAGTTTTCACAACAATATCAACAGCAACTAGCATGCTAACACCAGCTACTCCAGCATTAAATCCTGGTTCACAGACAATAAAAACACTGCAGAACTGGATGCAGGCAGCACACAGCAGCTGTTACATTCTCTTCACTAGAACAAAAACAAAACAAAACAAAACAAAAAACATAAAAACAAAATGAATCTTTTTCATCTTTTAAATACACCTGTTCAGCAGTGTTTAATCTTGGATGATTTGATGTTCTTTCTAAAGGTTGCCACATACTACAGGATTTTTCAGTCTTAAATGATTTTTAAAAATGTGACAGAAAGTGCACACCACAAACACAAGGAGAATGTGATGAGTCTTAAAATCTCTGATCACAAAGACTGCAGCAGGATAGAAGGAAGTAGTGACGCTACTCACTTTCAGTGTTCAAAAGATCAGAGCACTGCACTTCTAAAACAAAACTGTGTTATCTTTTATAGTATAAATGTCACTGTTGTTAATCTGCAGCTTCAGTTCGATCCATGCACTGTGTGGATGTAAATAAACACATGAGGAACTACTCTCACCTTTTTACTTTTAAAGAACATTTCAAACTGGATTCACATGGTGGTTTTGTGGACTGATGTCATTATTTGAGGAGGATAAATTCTATAGATAATGTGGATGAGATGTTGCAGTTGAAATATTTATTTAAATTTAACTTTATTTAACTTTTTTTTAAGAGGTGAATAATAATGATTATTGCTCTTTACTGATGTGACTCACGACTGTCCAATGTGTTCATCAATAAACTGTCTCTGTGTCACAGCCGCAGGACGACTACACAAGAGAAAGACAGCAACACTTTCACCACTTTGTGTTTAAATGTTATTATTCTCATTTTACCTAAAAGAGTTCCTGATTCTGTTTACATCCTATAACTTACGTCGCACTGAGCAGCTCCTTTTTTATGCTCTCTCTATAAAAAAGAAATTGGCTGCAGAGCAGTTCAATCTAAAGCCCCGAATGAAAGAAACACCTAACCCCCTCTATTCTCCGTGTACTTGTGTAAAACATCAGCTTGGAAACACGTCCAGACACCTGCTGCTGCGTCTACACTTTTGTGTCATGTACTTTTATAAAGTGTATGTAGAGAGTATATACATTTACACATATGCTGTGATGACAGTGTACTGTAGAGTGTAAATGTTGTCCTCACTGTGTGTTTGTTTTTTCTCATCCTTCCTGTCGTTGCTGTTTATTGTGCAGAGGATCCCCCGCAAACGAGATGTTACAAGGGGCTTCCTTCTAAATAAATAAATTCATTTAAAAAATATTCATGTGTGTGGGGAAGCTGGCCAGTGGTCTCAAGTAGGAGGCAGACTCAGAAAATGTTTTGTTTCACCAACAAAAATGTATTCATAAGTTCAGAGTGCTATCATGGGCAAAAATAATAAGAACACATTTACACAAAATAACTGAAATTTACAAAACTATGAAAACCCATGTGTACCTGGCAACACTGCCATGAGAGAGTTTATGTCTCAAGACGCTAAACTGTCTATATAGCGCCCCTCGCAGGAAGGACCACCATCCGGGTCAGTACAAAATCTTCTTCAGGTCAGATATTAAAGGTAAGTTCCCCTTTACAACAAACTATAAACACTGAAACATCGAAATCAAATATTCAAAACCCATTAAAGAAAAAGAACTGAAGCCAGTTCTCCCTCCACATGGTGTGGCCCAAAACCTCCCACAGAGGCTTTAAAC